AACTCCAGTCAGAATGGCAATTATCAACAACCCAAAAAATAACAGCTGCTGGAGAGGGTGTGGTGAAAAGGGAACACTTCTACACTGTTGGTGGGAGTGTAAACTAGTGCAACCTCTGTGGAAAGCAGTGTGGCGATTCCTAAAAGCTCTAAAAATCGACCTTCCATATGATCCCGCAATCCCCCTACTGGGAATATACCCTGAAGAACTCAAATCACTCTATAAAAAAGATACCTGCACACGTATGTTTATCGCAGCGTTGTTCACAATAGCAAGAACCTGGAAACAACCATGCTGCCCATCAAAAGAGGACTGGATTAAAAAAATGTGGTACATATACACGATGGAATACTACACAGCCATAAAAAAGAACAAAATCATGAATTTTGCAGCAACCTGGATGGAACTAGAGTCTATAATACTGAGTGACCTCTCACAGAAACAAAGATCTGAGTATCACATGTTCTCACTCATATAATGGACCTTGAATATCCAATGTAATACTATAAGAAAATGACTGACGGTACTGGGAAACTATGGAGGGGGGATGGGATTAACAGTGGCAAATATCTGTCTGGGGATGGGAAAACACCTCTTATCAACAGGGTGCCTGAATGAAATGTAATTGTACACCTAACCCTTAACTGTACCCCACAAAACCATAATAAAAAATATTGATTAATAAAAAAAAAATCAAAAAATTCACTGGGCATGATGGCTTGTGCCTGTAGTCCCAGTTACTCTGGAGGCTGAGGCAGAAGGCTCGCCTGAGCCCAGGAAATTGGAGGCTATAGTGAGGCATGATCCTGCCACTGCATTCTAGCCTGGGCGACAGAGTAAGACTCCGACTCCCGAAAAAAAAAAAAGAGTGGAGGATGACCAAAGAGATGACGACACAGTTAGTCACTCTTCCCACTCACACACTCGAGGAGAAATGCAAAATTATTTTTAAATGCAAGAAAGTAACTACCTGGCAACGTAAGTGCAAAGCTTCGACATTCCGTATCATCCTCATTTCTGATCCTCCAGTTGAGCGGACTTAAACTCTCGTGAGAGGGTGGAGAAATGAAACTAGACAAGAAGTGAGAACATGGCGGCAGGCACAGGGGACATCAGGCAAACCCTTACAGATTCACAGAAGAATCCTCTGGGCATTCTTGCAGGAGCCAAGACTGTCTCTGGAACAATCCGGCTGATGGAAACCACAAAATGCCTGGCAGGAAGCCAACTTCAGCGAGGGCGAGGGACAAGTTGCCCTCATTCTGGAGAGTCTGGGCTCACCCCCGGCCTGGCCCGCCAGGGGCAGGAGTGTGAATAAGCCAAGACGGTCCTCGTCTCTGCTCGCCTGCCCATGGCCCCATGATCCTCCCCTTCTAGCCCGATGGCGTTCTGTTTGCTGCTCCCACGCCTTCTCCTCCACCCTCACTCAGCAACTTATATCCCACTTGCTGGGAGCATGGCAGCTACCAGGCCACCCACCGCCACGGTTCCTGGAGGCAACATGACCAGAGTCACACTGCCCTGGCGCTGGAGGTCCAAGTCCCTCGGCTGTTGCCGGGCCGTCCGGTCTCGAGGGCTGCACTTCTGTCCCGTGCAGGGTCAGCCGAGGTGGGCCTCACTGCCAGGCCACGGGAAGGCGCAGGTCACCAGGGCATCACCTCTCTCCACTGTCCTCCACCGCCCACGGCCTCCGTCCTCCTCTCACTCAGCCAGTCCTCGCGTCTGGTTTGTCCTCCTCACCTTCAGTCTCAGTGGAGATGTCTCTTCTCCAGAAAGCCTCCTCTGCCTGGACGGATTCAACACCCCCCGAGTGCGGGACGCCTTTGTCACTGGGCATTTGTCATGCCGACTTAGGATCCAGGGATACTCAGTAAATCAGTTCCCAGCACACCTGGCACTGAGCAGGTGCTCCGTGCGTTGAATGAATGAATGGACATCTGCTCACGTACCGGCTAGCTCTGTGGAGACCGTGACTGTCTAGTTCCCCACTTACCCTCAGCAGCCGGCCCTGTGCTTAGGCGATGCTGAGCACCCAGGGACTGTCATGAACTGATGGAGCGAGGTCTTGCCTCTGAGCTGCTACGGACCATGTTCTGACATGCTTGTTGCAAAGTGAAGAAGTGAGCCCCGGCCTTTTTAGACTATCAGGTGGAGGTGGGGGCCATAGCAAAATGGAGAAAACCTCTGGAGGGCAGCCCCCCAGGTCTGGGAGAGTGGGCCTCTCTTTTCAACCACAGTATTCACGTTCTAGGGATTCTCATCCTGGGGCTCGTGGGCAGGGCTTCAGAAGGCCCCTGAATCCTCTGACCCTTAACTCACACCTCCATGTGATGTATGTGCATGCTTTTCTGGATGGGCAACGTGGCTTTCAATGGGTCTCAAAGGACCGTGGCACAGAGTCCTAGCTCTGGACTTGTGTCAGTGTGGAAGCCACCAGATATGGTGATTTACATTTAAATTTCAGTGTCTCAGGAACGTACACTAAAGGACCGTGTCAAGAGCTCGACTGCCACCACCCACAGGACAGCCCAGATACAGAGCATCTCTGCCACTGCAGAAAGTTCGACGGGACAGAGTTTCTCTGCATTGGTGGCGTTATCAATGCCATGTACGGATTGCAACAATAACCTGAAATTCCAGCCGGGCGTGGTGGTTCATGCCTGTAATCCCAGCACTTTGGGAGGGCGAGGTGGAGGATCGCTTGGGCCCAGGAGCTGCAGAGGGTCCTCGACATGGTGGGACCTCGTCTCGGCTAAAAAATAAAAAAAAATCTGTCTGGCCTGTTGGCGCACACTTTTAGTCCCAGCTACTCGGGAGGCTGAGGCAGAAGGATTGCCTGAGCCCAGCACGTGGGAGCTGCCATGAGCCGGAATCAGGCCACTGCACTCCAGCCTGGGCGACAGAGCGAGACCCCGACTCAAAAAAACAACCATCAACAAAACTGAAATCCAGATTTCTTCGGGCACAGGACTGTCTGCCAGCGAAGGGTCTGCAGCCCCCCCGAAGCTAGAACGCACCAGGCTGCTCTCTTTGGAGGGGACCCCGCCGCGCTGAAGTCCCCGCGTCGCCCTCCTGGCGTAGGAGTCCGCGACCCTCTTTTCTGGGGACCTCGCCCAGCCTGGCCTCCTCCCGGTCTCCCGTGTTTGCCACGACTACGGGTGTTGCCGAGGGGTGAAGCGGGGTCCGAGCACATCCCGGGGCAGGGTCTGCAGCTGACGCCGAGGGACGGGGTGGGGAACGCTGGACGAGGGCGGGAACGCTAGCCCCAACATCCGTGGCCGGACAA